AGAGAATGTGTTAAGTGGGGGCTCTTCTTCCTTGCCTGAGGCTTTCTCTCCTCCCCTGCGTTGTATCACCCCCCCCACTTTGCGTAACATCTGTTCCGTAGCGATGATATGACCGGCTATCACCAGTTTGGACCAGCTTGGACCAGCAGGTCCCTATATTAGAAACCGACCTTATGTCACGACCTGAGTCAAGTTAAATCCTGAGAATATGTTAAGCGGGGACTCTTTTTCTAAAAGGGACGTGGGAAAAGAAAGTTTTTTTTCCCCCGTGGGAATAGATGCTGCAGTTGTAGCATCTGTTCAGTGTGCCCGAGGCACAAGACCAGCTTTGACAAGCTCTGACCAGCTTAGACAAGATATAACTAGCTAAGACCAGCTTAGACAAGCTCTGACCAGCTTAGACAAGCAATGACTAGCTAAAACCAGCTTAGGCAAGATCTGACCAGCTTAGACAAGCTATGACTAGCTAATAGCAGCTTAGACAAGCTCTGAACAGCTTAGACAAGCTATGACTAGCTAAAACCAGCTTAGACAAGCTCTGACCAGCTTAGACAAGCTATGTCTAGCTGAGACCAGCGTAGACAGGCTCTGAACAACTTAGACAAGCTATGACTAGCTAAGGCCAGCTTAGACAAGCTCTGACCAGCTGACAAGCTCTGACCAGCTTAGACCAGCTATGACTAGTTAAAACCAGCACAGAAAAGCTCTGAACAGCTTAGACAAACTATGACTAGCTAAAACCAGCTTAGAAAACCTCTGACCAGCTTAGACAAGCTCTGATCAGCTAAGACAAGATATGATCAGCTAGGACCAACTTGGACCAGTGGCCCGAGTGGAGAAACTCAGGTCCTTACGTTAAAAACTGACCTTGTGTCACGATCTGACCCAGTGGGGAGTCAAGGAAAACCCCGAGAATGTGTTAAGCGATAAACGTGTGAACTTTAGTATTTCTATGTGGTCAGCTAGTGAATAATATTCGTAGAATACTGAGGAGAGTGTATGAGTATTTAAAATTCTTGTTGTCACTTGATCTCTAGTGAATAGGTGTGGGAGATTAATAAGGACAAGAATAATTCTAATGTTAATAGACCATAAACCGTTTCACATCAGTGTTACAAAAATATAATGTGCCACTCGTTGATGTTCAGTTACTTTTTTCATTGTTTTCTTTGAAAACAAACGGATAAAGCTAACAAGAGAAAAAGAGAAAATGATAATAATGTTGGAAATGATTTCGCTCATGGGAATATTCCCGCCATACCAATTCCGCCATTTTGCTTTTGCTGTTGAATACAACCAATCAGAAGCTAGTTTATCGTTTTCTTTTGTTTTTCTTTTGTTTTTCTTTTGTTTTGTTTTCGTTTTGTTTTATATTTTTTATTTTTTTTTATTTGTCTGCACTTTGGTATATTTTTTCCGCTGGGAAATTTTCCGGGTATTGAAATTAAAATTATCTTGGAGGTTGGAATTAAGGTCAGGAGGGGCAGTTTTATTTTTATTTTTTTTTATTTTCTATTTTTTTATTTTTTGCTCCCAGCGTTTCTGTTGGGGCCACCCACCTTCTTATCAGAATGGACTGATCTCTCTACTACAAATAGGACAGTTCTATAGAGTTCTGGGAGATCAGGTGACCATCACACTTCCGTCTCTCTACCGGAAGATACAGTTGGACTTTATACGTTTTCTGATTGTTACTGACTAACCTGCGTTCGTTTGACTACTAATCTCTCTGTTGTAAATACCTCTACAGATATACCAGTATTTTTCCCTACGTATGTGTGTGTCCTTATTTCAATACACGCACGGGGAAACACCCAACATCTCAACAGTTTCTCTGCTTCAAGTTGCGTGAGACCACATCTCTCTCTCTTTCATCTACTCTTTTTTGTACACGATCACAAATGCAGGCGATGTTTCTTGTTCTTACGCGGGAACAATGCTTAGACAGTTGATGATATTTCGATGCAGTTGACAACAAATAACAATCACCAAAAGCAACTCCCGTAGCGCAATGTTTACAAAGGTTATCTCTTGTTCCGATTTGTTCGTGAAGTGAGTTCGATCCTTGCTAGATGCCCTGCAGAAAAATGGTCAGGGGCAGTAATTATCAAAATAATGGTTTCATGGCCATAAGGTTAGCCATTCACATACACACACACAAAATCACAGATACACGATAGCGTAAAGAAAGTTCATAAAAACAGAGAAGATTCTTCATATATACTGAGGCCAGGATGGTTAAGGATTAGTGACTCGGGTTGAGAAATCATCGGGCCGAGTTCGAATTTCGGTCGATATATTACATTCACTTTCACACAGAGAAAGTAGGAATCTGTTGTGGCTTTGTTAGAACCAAAAATAGACACAAAGAGAGGAATTGAGTTTTCTCTCTCTCTCTCTCTCTCTCTCTCTCTCTATATATATATATATATATATATATATATATATATATATATGGGTGTGTGTGTGTTGTGGCCTTGTTAGGACCAGAAATAAAGACAAAAGAGAGGAATTGAGTTATCGTTCTCTCTCTCCCCCTCTCTCTCTCTCTCTCTATATATATATATATATATATATATATATGTGTGTGTGTGTGTGTGTGTGTTGGCCTTGTTAGGACCAGAAATAAAGACACAAAAGAGGAATTGATTTATCTCTCTCTCTCTCTCTCTCTCTCTCTATATATATATATATATATATATATATATATATATATGTGTGTGTGTGTGTGTGTGTGTGTGTGTGTTGTGGCCTTGTTAGGACCAGAAATAAAGACACAAAGAGAGGAACTGAGTTATCTATCTATCTATCTATCTATCTATCTATCTATCTATATATATATATATATATATATATATATGTTTTGACCTTGTTAGGACCAGAAATAAAGACACAAAGAGAAGAATTGAGTTAAATAAATATATTAACAGAAACATTAATACAAACATATACAAACTAGAGTGTTACAGCAAGAATGTTCGGTCCTACTGTCACAGCTGACTGCTGGAAACTTTTCACTCCAAAAGGCAGTACCCGCACCCATTTATAGCTAGTAGAGTCCATGCGTGCGTGAGTAAATTACCATAACACTATCTCACTCTTTCTTTCTCTCTGTATATATATATATATATATATATATATATATATATATATATGTTGTGGCCTTGTTAGTGCCAGAAATATAGACACAAAGAGAGGAATTGAGTTAAACAAATATATTAGCAGAAACAGTAATACAAATTATACCTGACTGCTGGAAACTTCCTTCTCCAAAAGGCAGTACCTGCTCCTATTTATAGCTGGGAGAGTCCATGTGTGCGTTGGTAAATTACCAAAACAGAATCCATCTCTCTCCACCCCTATGGGTAGAATAATAGTACAAACGGATCTCTCTAGCCATTCATGGCAGAATGTCTTGGAGAATGACAACTTTGAATTCAAACTAACCCACCTGAAACATTACAAATTTGGTTAGACAGTTTTTTTTTGCGCAATATTGTTTGCGTATGTATAGCTGGCCACTCGTATTCGAGGATTTTCGTCAACTAGGGAAGCTAGCCAATCCCTATTGCAGACGCTTCCTCAGGCGAATTTATGTTTATTCAACACGTATAGTGCTCGCCTGTGGTTTATACTGCAACTGTGCTGAGCAGACCTTAGTTACAGTTTCTGGGAAAGAACATGTCATCTAGCGTGATCAACATTTTGAATAAGGCCAGCACGCTCAAGACTGTGACTTCGTGCTAGCACAACAATTGTTGGTCCCCAGGGGGTTCCGTCTGCCCAATTTCACTTACAAGGCTTGGGTCAACCGGTGTTATGGTTTTCAGGTACTTTCCAAAGGCGTCGCACGCTGGGATAGACTCCTCCAGTCCGATAGCATCAAGAAGTCTCCTTCCTGATAAGTCGACCATGGTGAGATTCGAAACCGGGTCTCATGGTCAAAACTCGGCAACGTGCCCATAGTGGCAGCATACACAGTGGATGAAAGGACAAACTACTTACCTGAGTTAATGGATGGATTGAAAGTGCATTTACGTCGCATAATGTCACGTGTGTTTATGCAAGGGAATAACGCTATGGAGACATTTATAAAAATACTAGCAGTAGAGCCCGGCGTTGCCCGGGGATGTAACAGTAAGAGATAGATGAAGTATCGACCATCATAAAGACTGAAAAATAAAATTGACAAAGATTATTGTTTAAGGTTGACGGACACGCATGTCTTAATTATTTTTTCTTTATGAATTGGTCAAACCCAAACTCAAACAAAAACATTGTTTTCAATCGTTATGAGTCTACCGATTGAATAGAATTTTATTATAAACAATTGTCTTGTAAATGGAATTTTTAAAGCATTCTGAATGTAAAAATAAAGAAAAAAGTGTGCAAGACAATAAGAAACACTACCTGCCAAAAAAAAAGTTTTGTTGAAATCGGTTGAAAAATGTAGGAAATCCGATCCCATATATAAACGAACACACACGCACACAAACAACCTGGGTTTTCTAATAAGTATAACTCGATATGAGTTGTCCCCCTTTCATTCTCGCGATGCCTCTTAATCGTGCTTTCAAATTGATTTCGTGCAAAAACAATTGTGTTTTTCCAATTTTTGGCGCTGTTAGAACCACCGCAAGGTAATTTTACGTAGTCCTGTGAAGTTTTGTTGAAATCGGTTGAAAAATGTAGGAAATCCGATCCAATATATAAACGTACAGACACACACACACACACACACACACACAACATGGGTTTTATAATAAGTATATGATGTAATCTTTATGGTCAAGTGTCAAACTGACTGGCAAGTACGAATTTATTTGCATAGTTATATCTTTGGGGAGAAATGTAGTCTCACACCATTATCATGGGTATATGGCATTCGAACTTGGTCAACCTTTCTTTCTGAGTCTCTAATCACTGCAAAACCCAAACATCCATACATGCTGAACGTGTGTGTCAGTGTTTTTTGAGAGTGTGTCCGTGTATATTATTAAATGCGTGTGTCTTTGCGTGACAACGAATCATCATTTCGTTTCATTCTCTCTCTGCCTCTCCCACTGATTATTGGTGCCTCTCCCCGTCCTGACCGAATCTAATATGGAGGCAAAAGGCAGACGACTTAATTTAACCTCCAACCACTGAAGAGTTCCTTCCAAATTCCATTCTATGGGAAACAACGTCTCTTGACATAATTCAGCCGAAAGCGTTTGTCGGACTGCAAATTGAACGCGAAATGTCTCAGGCATTTTCCCCTGTCACTTTCATATTAAAGAAGATGGCCATCGACTTCGACTGTTACTAATGTTGCATCGGGTCGACAACCATTTTCATTCAGTACAGAATCTCAAGAACTCTCCATCTTGTCTTGTAGTTCAATTTAATAAATAGATAGCTTTTCCGTTGAGAAAGCTAGAGAAGGTGTAAGTGAGAAGAGAAACAAGAACAAGAGTCGGATTGTTGTCATCTTGAAATATCAAGACATGGAAACGGAATAACTACATTCTCTTTTAATCTATCTTGCTACCAATGGAGTTATCAATATAATAGAAAGATACATCATCCAGTTCGCATCCTTATCTACCTTAGTCCGTTCTTTCTTTCTTTCTTTCTTTCCTTCTTTCTTTTTTCCTTTCTTTCTTTCTTTTTTGCTATCGAGCTAACACTGTGATATAGTTATAGCGTTCTTATCTATCTATGTCAATTTTTTCATATCTATCCATTAATCTATCTCAGTTTTTTTCAAATCTATCTAGATTTTTTCATATATATATATATATATATATATATATATATATATATATATCAATTCTTCATATCTATCCATCAAAGTTTTTTTTCATATCTATCTATCTATCTCATTTTTATATCTATCTTTCTTTCTATCTGTTTTTCATATCTATGACAGTTATCTATCTATCTCAGTCTGTTCGTATCTATCTATCTATCTATCTATCTATCCTAGATTTTTTTTTTCATATCTATTTTCTGTCTTTTCCCATCTACCTATCGATCTATCTATATGACAGACGATACAAATTTGGTAGAAATCGTAGTAGCAGGAAGTTTTGTTTTCGAAAAATTATATATCTGATATATATATATATATATATATATATATATATATATATATATATATATATATATATATATGTGTGTGTGTGTGTGTGTGTGTGCAAATATATAGAAAAATAGGACAGAACACGTTAGGTAAATAATCCGGGATTCTTTAGTATTTTTTGTTTTATTTTTTTAAAAACAGTGCTCGATACAAAAGTAGAGCCTATATTATAATTATAATTATTTTATTAAAATATGATTCCTAAATTTTCGCTTGAGATTTTCTATCTATCTATCTCAGGCTGATAAATATCTATCTATCTATCTATCTATCTATCTATCTATCTATCTATCTCAATCTATTCATATATATATATATATCAATTGCCATCTTTTCGTAACTATCTATCTATCTATCTATCTCAGTCTTTTCATTATCTATCTATCTATCTATCTATCTATCTATCTATCTATCTATCTCAGTCTGTTCGTATCTATCTGTGTGTGTGTGCGTGTACGTGTATTTTCTGTGAAAAAGCGTTTTAATAGTATCTGTGCGTGAGTGTGTTTTTCCTGTGCATTTGCACGCTCGCATGTGTATGTGTGAGAGAGAACCATAGAGGGAAAGAGAAAGGACGCGTGTATGCATGAGAGTGCGTGACAAAGAGAGAGAGAGAGAGAGAGAGAGAGTGAGAGAGAGAGAGTGAGAGAAGCTGGGCGCAGGAGAGGAATCATTCTGTTAATTGGATGTTAGTGTTCAGAACATGCGTTACTAAAAGAGATGCCCGGTGATTCACGTAAAATGAACCTCGGAGTTTTTCAACAGAAATGGGATTCAAACCCTGGGAAAATCTCCGGCTGGGAAAGGGACAAAGAATCCAGTGACAAAAAAAAAAAAAGTAATATATTACTGGAAAAATATTTTATTGGAAAAACTAATATTATAGGATTTTATAGAAAAAAATATTATAGGGAAAAAATTTTATAGTAAAAAATATTACAGGAAAAACAAAAATAGAATTTTATAGGAAAAATTATAGAAAAATTTTATAGTAAAAAAATATTATTGGAAAAACAAATATAGATTTTATAGAAAATATTATAGAAAAATTTTATAGTGAAAAATATTATTGGAAAAACAAATATTATAGAATTTTATAGAAAAATTATAGAAAATTTTATAGTAAAAAATATTATTGGAAAAACAAATATTATAGATTTTATAGAAAAATATTATAGAAAAAAATTATAGTAAAAATTATTATTGGAAAAACAAATATTAGAATTTTTATAGAAAAAAAATTAACAAAGAAAAAATAACAGAAAAGTAAGAAAAGAAAAATAAACAGACAAGCAAATTGAAGAAAATGTTTGCTGGTCTGAAGTACATCATATTATCTTCAGAAGAAACTGTTAGGCAAGTACGTTGCCTTGTTT